CATCATCCCCCTTATCCATGTTTTATCCGACTGTAGGATCGAGATGTGCCGCTTGCTCCTGCACCACGATGAGAGACAGGGAGAGAGATTTAGACCAGCCTGTCTAATTTTAAGAGAGTGCAGACATGTGAAAACCTTTGATTTTTTGAACTACTATGCAAGCCAACCTCAACATGATCGAAGACAACTTTTGTAGAGAGAGTGTCATGTTGCTACGGCAATTTGACGATCCCTTGAGAAAAAAATAACGATAGGGATGTCATTAAAGATGATACCTTGTCCTATCCTATTATTCCTAAGCATCGCAAGCTGATGGTTCTTTTTACACGCAACCTGATGTGTGTGTGTGTGTGCGTGCTATGATTGCAAATCACCAGCCGTACGTGCTTGCGATTGCCTGCGTGTCGAGTTTCCATGCTTTTTCGGGGGGGTCGTAACTTGCATAACAAAGACGCTCATCAGTCATCAGCCAATACCTGTGATACAGCAGGAGGTGTGCACTGCTTACCTGCATTCGGTTGAGCTGCGGACACGATGTTCCTGTTCCTTTGTGGTGTACACATCTTGCTAGTAGGTTCTTGCTACTACGAACAACGCCTTTTGCTACTAGTAGCTTCTTGTTCATCTTGTTCCTAGTAGCAATGCCCTTTGTTTCTACTAGCTTGTTTGCATTATGCGATTATTTATAGTTTCGGGGTCCCCGGAACGAAGAAGTCCCATCAGGTTCACCTGTGGTATCCAACCCTTGTAGGAAGGAGTAATTGATTTTGTGCAATAGTTGCCTGAAAACCCTTGAGCAAGCAGCAGGAAACCAGGTTCTGATTCTCTTGGACAATCATGGAGCACCCCTTGACAGGATGTGTAGTTTGAGAAACGCTTGGCAGGTGTGTTGTGGGCCAATGGACGACCCATACCCTGCCGACAAACTCCTCACACCAATACCAAGTTCCAAACACGCACCACACCGATCCGTACCAAACACATGAGGTTTGCGCTAGTTTTGAGGTCTTTCAATTCTGCTGGGAGTTACCGTAACAATATGATATTATGGCATGTTGAAGTATAGAGAAACGGTCGCCAGGAGTTCTTCGCTTTCGGAGTTCTTTCTGCCAACGGATCTCGTTGAAGCTCTCGCTGGTCACCTTCGGTCGGCCGGAATCAGCAGGTGTCTTTAATGCAGAGCTTCAGCTGGCCCTCCATCATCTCATTGGTGTGCGCCTGGGAAAACCCGTGTCATGGATGCAGTCATCATGCAGGGTCCCAGGGGGTCCCAGGGTGGCGAAATTCGGCTTCCAAGCCAATCTCGAGGTGGATTTTGATGGCTGTTCACGAGTCACTCTGACACTCCTATGAAGCCCCTTCGTCAAGCCACGGCATTGTCTTTAAAAAAACAGATTTGACGTCCTTGGTTCTGAAGAGTGGAAGAGAAGAACCAATGCCTTCTGATCAATCATTGGATACTGCAATGAACACCTGTGACACATCTCCACACCAGCACCAGCGAAGGCAGCAGCGGATGCACTACATCGCTACTCAGAAGCATGGGACTTTGGTTTCTTTTTGAGAGCGCGTGGAGTCGAGGTGTAGGTGGTGCCTAATCAAAAAGCCAGATGGGTATAGATTGCCTCACCCTCAACCGCAAATAGTCAAGGCAGTTAGTGCCGTTTATGTCTTAGTTGAGATGCGTGCTATTCCCTTTGTGGCTTATGACTCGTATGACCTCTGCGGGTTGCCCGAAGCATGTCTTGTATACATGGGAGGCAGGAGTCAGCATCTCAACTCAGAAGCTCAAGAACCTGACCAAAGAAGAACCTTGACCTTAAGCAATAAAGGAACCTTGCAGCAACTGAAATTTGCAGACCATTGGACCTGGCCCAGAAAGATTTTACACCCTTGATATTCCACGATATTCCCATTGGGCCACTGGCCCCCCCCTTGAGTCCCTGTGCAGATCACATGTTCTCCAGCCGAGTTCGAAGTTCAAAGTTTGCGCCAAGTCAGCACGTATTTTCGCGTCTCATCCAGGTAATGCCCTTCTCCGAAGGTGGGTCCTTAAAGAGCCGCATCTCCCAAGCCTTGGTGCAAGACGTGGAAGGTCGCGTTGTTGGTCGGATCGGTTGGATGGGGGGTCCCAACCGGTTCTCGCGGTGAGAGAACGGGCCGTTTTCTGACAGATGAGGGATTCTGTTCAATGGTTGAAGTCACGGTGAGGGTTATACTCTTGCATGAACCTTGGGGGTGGCTTCAATGGGGTTATACTCTTGCGAACCTCAATGTTCGTGCATGATAATATATATATATTATATATATATATATTATTTATTATATATATATGGTTTTGGTTATATAGTGGTTTGGCAGACTTGCTCAGGGTTGTTGTTGGAGCAAGGTTACAGGGAGTGTGTCACATTGTATGGCACAGCACATCATTCACCCAACATAGTCGCGTAGTGGCTGCTGATGAGCTTCCAGAACTGAAGATGGGCACAATACATTGAACAAAGTATCGATTCTCAATGTTCAGTGGCGTTGTTGTAAGGGCCATGGCGGGCCTCGGATGCATATCCGGGGGCACTAAAACAAAGTGTCCTCAATCCATCCTGCCAAGTGTGCGGCAGGTGCATCACTGATGGCAACATTCTGGAGTGCAATGACTTACTAACCATCCCAGACTCCCAGACCTTTGGCGCTTTCTTTCTCATCTCTCAAACCCCAAGCCCCCCTACCCATTCGATGCCGTCACTGGGTCCGCCAGGGTCACCGGCCGCGGCCAGGACTTGAGCACTGTACGAGGAGCAACTCCTCGTTGAGCTTACGCCGGGAGCCTCGGGAGCGGGCGATGCCGCCGCGAGTGGTCCGGTGGTGGTCCGGTGTTCCGGGAATTCCTAGAAACGGTGGGGACCTACGGTCTCATACTATGGATTCATTCATGGCATGATGACGTGAGCTGCAGGTTTATCAGTATACAACTCATTGAAATTGATAATTATCATCAAAATTCACAAAACAAATCCTTGACTCAGGTGGACAGCACCTGGGCGCATGGTACGTGCAGAGCCTTCATGGTCTTAGCTTTCTGCATCACCACGGCGTCTTGCACCGAGACATCAAACCGGAGCCTTGGATGGATCGCTTGAATCCTTGGCACCTGGGGTTTCACCGGATCTGGGATCTGGACTTCCTCCCTGGGCTCCTTTGCTACGCCAATAGCATCGAATTCAGCGATAAAAGACCTCGCAAAAAAACGACATCATACGACAAGAGGCAACAACGTGAGCGGGATGTCAACTAACTTGCAGGACATATCGTAACTTGCAGGAGTCCAAACATCGTGGTAGCGTTTGACCTTTGGAGTCAGTTCTGCCATATTGTGGTCGTCAGGCTGGGATACTGCCAGGAGTTCCAAGTTCGGGTGCTTTTCCCGCTGTGGGCAATCAAGACCGCCTGTAAAATCCACCGAATCCAGTTATATAAACAGTTGGTGAATGAGCGGTCCTCTTTGGCTGATTGAAATTCTACTAAATATAATAAATGGATCCACTCATTTTGCTGTAAATGTTGTCATGTTTCATGGCTGTTTTAGTGAGGGTGAGACATTTGCCGTTCCAGTCAACCAGTTGACTCATTTGGAGCTGTTTTCCACAGCTGCGGCGATCTCTTATGGGCGACCCGTGGTTTTCATGAGCGAGCTGTGGACTGAGGACAATTTGATGTTGGGACATGGTGGTATCACCCTTCAGCTGCTTGGGACTGATCGTGAGTCAAGGAGGTCAGGCCGGAGGTAGTGCCGGAGGTCAGGCAAGAAGACCATTACAGGAGATGCTGATAGTCATCCTGCTTTACACTCCCTGAAATCATTGGAAAACCATTGCTTTGTAAAGGAAAATGGTCATCTAAGGGGCCAGGTGTTGCTTTCATGATGATTCCGGTTGGTAGTCCGGTGGGTATATATAATAAATAATTTGAATTATTATTTGATATCCTATATATAGTTCACTGCATCGATTGGCATAGCTCAACACCATTGGGTAGAGGCCCCAGTGAACCAGTATTTTCGTTTTCACGCCACATCCACTTCAATCAGTAAAGTGCTCCGAACGTTTGGTGTTTTGTTTAGTGCTTGGGGTACTAATACGGGCCGAGGCGTTGGGATTCCTTTCCTCTGGGGTGCACCGTTCGGATTCACCCGGATTTTGCGGATTTACGGTCGAAGGCCGGATTGACTAGGGGATTGTTCACTCCACGTGCAATGCCGCGGGGTTCCAGTAGGTTGTGTGTGTTTCTTGATCCTGTTTGGTGCGAGAAGGGATGTGCCCGGCCCGGGTGGTTTGAAAGATTGCACTTCAGCCATGCCCAACCCATGCCGTGCCATACTCACATAGCTTTTCACCATGCCATACCATATTATGCCATACTCACCTGGATCAACCATTTTAGGTCGAACGCTGTGGGAATCCAACCGCGTGAGACGTCAGGATTTGTGACCTTGGCAGTGCCATGCGGCTACCTTCGGGAGACAAGGACAGCTACCTTTCTTTGCGTTTGATTGCCCCAGTCGACGTTCCCGTGGCATTGATGCTCAGTAAGATGCAGTTGTTGACATCATTTTATGCATAAGCCCGGGGGGCCGGGGTAGGCCGCTAGTAGAGGTGGGGTATCTAGTAGCTAGGGAGTCGGTAGCTAGTAAGGGAGAAGCTAGTAGCTACAAGAAGCTACTACCGACAGGACGGCAGCTCACGCACTCATGATGTTGTTTCTAGATTCTGAGGAGTTTTAGGGACACTTCACCATAGCTCTACTACAAGGACGCTAATGCTCGGTGGAGGCCATTGCTTTCGTAGGTTGGAGGCCATCGCTACCGGCCTCCGACCTCACCAGAGACTGCAGGAGGCTTACGTCGAGGCTCCCGTGACAACACCTGTGTACAGTGCTCCGGAAGTGCCTTGGGCTGTAGTGCTCGTGAGTCACAGGATGAGGCTTGGGAGTCGGTGGGAGGATATCACAAATGCACGGTCCTTCGGTGGTTGTCTCATGATGTCGGGTTGTTTCGTATGCGCCAGTACATGCGCCAATTCCCGCAGGCAGGAGCCTGTCATGTGCGTGGCCTGACACATTGGCTCAAGGTTTCCGACTAAGCCAAAGTGCCAAATCGTAGCAGTCCTTATACTCTGCAGTGCTCAGTGTAGTACGCCTTTTGAAGCAGTGTATGGTGGAGTTGGCTCTTCACGAGCCGGATGAAGCTTTGACGACCTGGGCCTTGCCGGGCGAGGCCTTGTGCTGTCGAGCGAGCCAGGTGCAAGGGATGCGCCCACAGCACCAAGCTGTCACAGACGTTCTCCAAGAAAGGACTGCGATGATCATGGGGATGAACCCCAAGACCCTCCGCGCCAGGCGCAAATGGCCACTCGCCTTTATGGTGAAGATGCGAGATGCTTTTTTTGTCCTTGCTGCTTCTGGGTGGGGGGATTGGAATGACCAACTTTAGTGTTGTGGTCATGCTTTTGTTTGTGTTATGATTGTTGTGTTAGTTGGTTCAATTGCTCAACTATTTTGGTCAGTCCGTCCTCAAGCCAGGCAGATGTTCATGTGGCCGCAAAAGAGGCATTGGGCTCTAGTCCTCCTACCCTTCGGTGAACCATTTACAGCCAGGTTGGTGGACGATTTTGTCCACAATGCCGAGCACTGCTTCTCTGCAGAAGTGCCATCTTCCCGACTTTTCTTGGTTTACGAGATGCTATTGGAGGTTGGGCCAATAGTAGCCCTACAAATGTACACAAATGTGAAAGATGTCTGAAACTCTGGCAGCAGTAAGTGCTTTGAATTGTTTGATTCTCAAAGTGTGGTTGTTCTCCCCTGGTGAGGGGGGCCGGAGCTGTCCTGATACAATCCACTTGAGTAAAAGCACTCCATACCCTGGAGGAGAGAGATCCATTCATCATGCTGAGTGTCAAGCCAGACTTCAAAACTGGGAGGCAGGGATGATCAGGGATGTTTTGATCAGAATGCTCACCAGAAAACCCTTGGATGCACCCTCCGTCCGAGGAGTGGCCCGGGTGATTTATATACAGTAAATCTTCCTGGTAGAGATGGCCTCCAACCTACATATTAGCAATGACCTCCAACCTAAGAGCGATGGCCTCCAACCAAATCTTTCCAACATTTTCCAACCAACAAAGTCTCTCTTGCTTGGAGGAAGAATGTTTGGTCCCTGGGCTTTACCCGACGGATGAACCTCCTGGACCTTCAAGCTCATGCACTGGAAGTGGCGGGACGCTACAGGTGCTATAGCTTCATTGGTGCCAATTGTCAGCACTTCGCTGCAGATCTTGCAACAAGCCTTGGGGCTTCAAGGGTGTGTCCAGATGATGAAACAGTGGCACTTGCTGCTACAGATGCCCGTGATTTACTCAAATATGTTGTTTTCCAGTGTCCTGCATTTGACATGCAAACGCCGACTGGAAACGCTGCAGAAAGAGAGAGAGAGAGAGAGAAGAACAAGATAAAATTAGAGTTTTGGGCTGGGGAATCCAGACTGAGATTCTTTGTTCCACAAATTTCCACAATGCAGCACGATATGGCACGATCAGCAAATCCAAGGATACAGCACTTCCAGTTGGTGTGGTGGGGGCCTGTGTCGCGGCAACGGCTGCTGGAGCGGCCAATGCGCCGGCACTGAGCTGGTTGCCCGCCCTGAACACAGTGGCCGCGTCCGCTTCTGCCGTGGGTCTTTGTGGATGCGCTGCGTTGATCGGGGTAGCAGGTGGGGCAGGGTATTTGCCATTTGGTCAGGTACAGGGAGGTTCAAAATGCCAAGACCTGTGTGCAAAGGAGTCTGCAAAGGGTGATTCATGGATACCCCATGATGCCCCTCATTAGGTTTGAAGGGGATGTTCTTAGACACTTGGGGGGTGCCCTGGTACATTCCCTCAGGGGACATGCCTGTTGTTTCGACACAGTGTTGCCGAACTTTGGCGGTAGGCCTTTATACAGTACTTCGCGATCAGAGCCGATGTGTTTGTCCTGTGGTGGTGGGAGGGAGCAGTGCACGTCGAATGCTTGCACGACCTGCATCCAGCTGCTTGCTGTTGTCCTATCGTCATAAACTCGCATCGAAATCAATGCCTTGCTTACACAGACATGATGAGAACTCGGACTCTGAAGATGATGAGGAAGACGTCGGAGATGGACGATTCTACAGTGAGGATTGGTTGGCCTCAACTTTGGTCCGCATCAACCCCTGAGAAGGGAAGAAATTCGGCGCGTTGATGTGTGAGATTCTTGAACTTTTCAAGGAGTCCAACTTTGGTTCACAGCTGCTATACAAAATAATGTGGCAGTTGGCCAGTGTGGGCTCAAATTGCACCTACGGAGATTGAGAGGATGACATATCATTGAAGTTTGGTTTAATGGATGATATGAATAGCGTTGAATTGTTATGAGATATACATTGCAAACTATGTATGTAGACATGTTATCTCTAGGTCAACTTGGGGCAAAGACACGTTCAAGGTCATTTCGCAAGCTTTACACTGGTTCTAGTCATTTTCAGACTGGGTTCCACACGTGCGTGAATCCACGACCGATTTCTGCAGTGCGGTGAATTCTGAACGCGATAGATTTCTCTGCGCGGTCGGTCAAAGCTTTGTACAGTTCTTTCTGCAAGCCCTTTTGATGGCTCTAAGCTTCAGCATCAGTGCATCATTGAGTCCTGCAAGGATGTTGATACTGGTGCGGTGTACAATTAGCTCTGGCATATAATTAATTATGTGCATATTTCATATTTTTCCGAGTTCCTGCGTAGAATTAGTGACAGGTCCCACAGTGATAGCATTCCGCAAGCAATCACTGAGGGACCTACAACTTTTTGTCATCAAGACCAGATGGACATCAAGTGACTTCTGGTTCATTCTGTCAGCGGATTGACAAAGACTTCGGACAGTTGTCCACCCTCGACGAAAAAGCGAGCAAAGTGCGATTAAAGGCAAGCTACTTACACCAACAACTTTTTGGTCACATTTGGGATTTAGATTTGGTTTAGTATCAGCATGTCACCAAGGACCATGCTTGTTGGTGTTACGAAACTCAGGCGCTCCGACAGTTGGTACAACAGTTGGATGAAAATTCATGTTCATTTTAAGGAGCAGTCAGGACGCACTACGATAGTGGATCTTGCAACATTTCAGGATTTCCAGGACTTGGAGTGGGTGCGTTTTCAACTGGGCAGACCACCGAGTCAAATCCATGGGGGTGTTAGTTTTGATGATGGTCAAGCAATTTCAATGTGGGGAACGATTCGGGCCCGGCATGGGGTGTGCGGCGTGATTGTTTGGGGGGCAGAAAGCCTATTCAATTTGTCGATGTTTGGAGTGTCTCCATCCATCTCAGATCAGGTCTCGAAGTGGCATCGAGCTTATGCGGCTTCGGACATGTGGTCCTTGGGGGCCACCTTTTATGAGGCCGAGCTGCGCTCGTGCGGATGGCATCCGGCCGTTGTTGGAAGAATTGAAGCTGCTTTCACAGCGGTAAGAAGTTAGTTTCTTTGTGTTTATTTGTTGTTGGTTTAAGTTTAAGCTTCTTTAACTGTAACAGCCCAATTGGAGTTAAACAAATCTTTCATATGGTAAGGACTATGGTAAGGCCAGAATAACTGATTGAAACAAATCACAAAATGTCAAAATAGTACGTCAAATGGACAAGTCAACGTCAAAATAAGTCAAATTGAAAGGTCAAAAAAAATCAAAAAAGTATCGAAAGAAGGTCAACAAAAAGTCAATCATAGACTCAACTCGAAAAGTCAACAACAATGTAAAAAAAAAATCAACCACTCGAAAAAGTAAAAAATAAAGTCGACAAAAAAATCGGATCTGTGCAAATTGATGTTTTTTGACTTTCTGAAACTTTATGTTTTTATTTTTATTTTTGAAAACAGGCTCTCTCCAATGAAATCTGTCTTTAAGTTGGAGCCTTTGGACCATTGCACCTCACACCAGTTTAAAGATCCTGGATCGTCAGATTATTCTCCACCCCATATTTGGGGGCAGAGCTGCCGCGCGCGCGATGTTTGCCTTGCGAAGCGAGGACCCGACATTGCCAGGTGATCACCTTGCAAAGCTTGGCGCCCACGAACAGCCCCCAGGAGAAGAAGCAGCTTGAGAAGTCATTTTTAGGGCATCTACTAGCAATGGGATAATAGCATGACAGACCCTTACTAAAGCTTTAAGAACATCTACCCCAATGTAAATCAACCCAGAACTAAAGCACAATCTCAACATTTAATCCCATTGAACACGCAGCAAGCTACTCGAACCAGTAGAACTGAGACGCAAAGTGGTTGGGGCTTCATCTTCTTCCCGATCCACAAGTCCAGCTTGGATCCTCCAGCCCGGACCAACACATCGATCTAGTGGATCTCACATCTCACACCGATCCAATTGCCGTGTCCTGGATTATGCTGCCACCACTGGAGCCCACGGTGCACTGACCGGATATGCTGCTCCTGTCCGCTTGTGCCGTTTTGTTGAAAGCCCGGCGCAGGAGCTGTGTGAGTGGCTGGATGACTTGGCGGACTCGCTACACACGACTTCGACCGAGGTCAATGGAGCGGATGAAGGACTGAGGCCAATGATGGAGCTGCACCAGTGGCCTCGGGTCTGGTCATTTCTTGGCCTCAAAATGCCAGCCATGGGTGCTCTCCCATATCCCAATGGAGGGATCGAGATGTCCAAATATTCTGAAGGGGCATACAGTTCTCGTGCATGTGCCTTTTTGATTTTTTTCAATTAGTCAGGAGAGATTTCCGGTCGCAAGAAAACCGCGTGAACCCCCTGAGAATGTCGATGGTTCTTCTTGCGCGTCACTCACCCCCGGAGTGGACTGCGTGGCACGCGCGAGTCATTCCATCCGCTCGACAGGTCCGTAAGATCACGACCGGACTGATCTCTACGAAATAAGGGGACCTGGGAAAATGTAAGCTAGACATGTTCCAAACGGTTTGAGGGGGGAGGAGGGGGGGGTATGGAAAACTTAGAGTCTACTTCTTGTGGTCATGGGATTTTCGGCATGCGATGTCTCTTTCTTTCTACTCCATGTACAGGAGGCACCGTTGGTAGTAATCGACCATATGGAATGAAGGTTCCGTCCATCCGAGTCCAGACTTTGCTGTTGGATGGGTGAATCATGTCTCACAGCACACAACACCCGAGAAGACCGGCGGTGCGCTGTCTCGCAGGATCTGCGGTGTCCGAGCTGCGGAAAGCCATCGAGGAGAGCCGGAAACCTGGGACCTGAGTGGGGGGGGAAGGTCCATACATGTCCATGCGATATGAATAGTGATATATGCTAATAGTGTTTGCGGCCATGGGCATATAGGTGTACAGATGTGTACAGTGTGCACATATTGCTTAAATTGAGAGTACTGTACTGTAGTGATGTTATATATGTATAAATACACCACGCATTCTTTAAGTATGTATGTGGACTGAATATGATATAAGGCAGACACGAGGCAACAGCAACAAAATCGAAACCATAAATCTTGTGGCTACAGGATGCCACACGTGCGTTTAGTGAATCTCATGCAGAGGGTTATAATTCTGAGCAGTTTGCCGATGTCAAACAAGGAGCTCTCAGCTCTATCCGGAGCAGCACTCAGAACAGTGGAACAGATGACCGCCACAGCCGGAACGCGGTTCCAGGTTCCCAAAAGATGATGCAGGCTGTCCAGAGAAGGTGTCACACTCAATCACGGTTTAATCCAAACCTAAGATGAGTGATGTCAACTTGTGAGGACAGCGAGCCTGTCATGGTCCGTGCTTGTTTTGTAAATAGGCTTTGCGATTTGCTACAAGCCTTGGGGTGTTGATGCAAAAAGGGAAAAGGTGGATTCTCCGTAGCAAGGTCACCTCAAAAGCCCAAGCCCACCCCCCAAGCCCTTCTTTGCAGAAGTCACTTTGGTGGGACAGAGGGGGCATTACTCCATCTCATACTCGCCAGACTGTGGACAAGTTGCTGGACAAAATAGTATGTTTTGGAGAGTTGGGGAGCAGCCATATATATATATATAATATGTGATTATGTGTATTTAGTATTATTTAGTTATATAATATGTATTTGTATTTATGCTGAGGGGGTAGAATTATGAGACATCATGGTCTCCAGCGGGTTCGGCCCCCCACAAATCTCCCCGATGCCCCAAAACACCCCCCAAAAAAACCCTGACACGACCGGACGCCCTGGCCCGAGGCGTCTCTGGGGACTATGACTTCCATGGCCATGGCGAGTTCAAGGAGCGACGGTGGAAGGGGTTTTATATAGAATGGTCTACACGTACGAATACTGTAGAACTGAACAAGACCTACGGCCTACTTTTCAGAATTCTGGTCAGGGGACCAGTATACGAAACACACCATCCCCATCTCCCATCTCTCTATGTTTGGCACGATTGATTCAAGGTTGTTCTTCTTCCAAGCTTTGGAATCAAAGCAATGGAGCCTGATTGGCACTGATTGCTGGTTGGTTTCAGCATGTTTCAGACCCAGCCCTAGCGGCATTTCTGGCATGTCATGAGCACCAAGAAGGCACTCGCTGCAGATTCAACATGCTGCGCTGCGTTCTTCTCACCATCCGATCCACTGTCGTGGGAAAGGGGTGACTGATTGCAATGGCCGCCACAAGACACCGACAGCCAGAGACCCATCAGTCTCACGTAGTCCCCTGAGAGTCCTTACCCCATGACTAAACTCTGACACGATGTCCCTGATTTTCCGCCGCTTTTCTGTAAATGAAGGCTTTGGGTCACTCACCGCAACAGATTTGGTGCCGAAGGAGGTGCTCCAAATCTCCCACTCTTCGCGGCCCTCAGCGGCGGCGATCTTGGCCAGCAGCACCTTGGGCGACGAGTGGCCGACACGCCGGTCACGACCGTCACGGCTTTTCGAGGCCCTGGGAGGTCCGTTTGACCTGATGAGTTTGATCCGTGGTTCCATGGTGTTAGCCCAATGGTTCGCCTCCATGGCTCCTTGGGTTCGGATTCGACTGAGACACCTTCAATCCACGGTGCCGACAGGTTGGGGCTAACTCAGTGGTCCTCGCACCATAGAGGGGTACCGGTACTCCAAGTGTACAACCAAATGGAATATGGTACCCAAAAGGGCATTATGGCATGTTATTGCATTTTGTCGCTCATCACTCTTCTACAGAATGCCTAACATGTGCTGATGTGTTTTCGCCTCAGGCAGTAACATGTCCGTGCTGCGCACTGCAATGGCAGTCTCAAGATGCTTGGTCGGGTCTTTATGATTCAACTCGTCGTTTTCTCCACGTGTTGTACATATAGTAGCCTATCGATGTGTTGACAGGTCACAAGGGATCGCTCAGGACTTCTCAACATTACGGCTTGCCACCGCAAGTGCGT